TACCATCACATCTAACCTACACCCTTGATAAAAAGTAACTTTAGAAGTTCATTTCAGTATGCCAATCTATGTGTTGGCATCCATTTTGCTGATTCTTTTTCTAAGTAAATTGTGAAATGTAGAAATATTTATTAAGACTTTCTTAGATGTCTAGCATTGAATAAACAGAAATTATCCAACTAACAAAGGCATAATAGATTTCTTAGGATTTGGCTACAATTTTGTAAAGAAGGAGCTTTTACAATAAATGTCCACACACTTACTGAAAAGCATTTTGCTTGTCTCCCACCCTAAGAATCTAGCAACATAAAGTGAGTCATTAATATATATACACATGAATGTAAACACCAACATACATGTAAATCCTTGTTATTTGTACCCAACCTTGGAGCCTTCTGCATACCAGGGATTTTTTTGTTTTGCTTTTAAGACAGATGTGTTTTAATTAACTTCTATTGAAAGAAGCAGGTATCATATCTAATGCTACGTAGTGTACAGGGTACATATTACTGCAGCACCACAAGTCATAATGTTAATTATAAAATTCACCAGCAGTCGTCTTCTCATCGATTGCACATAGATATGCCCAGAGTGTCACATTGTGAGAGCACATGCTTCCGGTACACAGGAGGATCACAGCTAGTCCCCAGGAAGTAGGAGAATTAAAATAAAATAAAATTCAAACAACTGCCAATATTCTATTTTATGTTTTATTTTCAAACTGATTTATGTCCAGTACCCTGACAGGCTTCGGAAGAATGAAAACACAGCTCAATAAGCTGTCTGCCAAATGCAATAGCTCAGCCGCAGAATGATGGCTTCAGAAAGTTGGTTAAACTAGCTTGTGTCTGCTTTCCATGGGCATCCAGGCGAGGGCTCGGCATCTCAATCGGTTTGGTGGTGGGAGGGGGCACGTTAGGGAGGATATTTCAACTAGTCTGGAAATTCACATAAATTAATTAACGTGTATATTATATTATCATCTACCTCCTTCTCCCATTTAGACCCCATGCATACAGAACGGTAATTCACAGAAACCTATAAATGGGACTAACTGCTGACAGAAGGAGGGGTTTCCTGCAGGAATTTCTCTCTTAATTTTTATAAAAACAGACAGAAATGCAATAAAAAAATCCAAGAAGATGATTCAAATCACAGCCTCACTGGATGAGTTTGTGCTTATAGCCCATAGATCGGAGAGTCCTTTCAGCTGCCACCATTAGTACAGAATTATAGTCAGTGTTGATTCTGCAGTTAGAAGAATTGTGGAAATCTATAATTTCTCTTTTAAAAATGTTTACCAACTCTACCTTGAAAACATAAAGAACTGTAAAACAAAAGGTCAGCAACCAGGCATGAATATTTGCCAGATGGGAAGAAAAAAATATGTCACTAAGCTCCAATTTATACTCTTCTTTACCATTTAAAAAAATTCTTCTGGTGCTTATATTTCTGGATATTTCTAGAAGTACTGGGAGCCAGGCATAAAGTTTCATGAAGTAAAAATAACACTGATCATGAGTTAGAAGACATACTTATAGGCTGTGCGATCTTGGATAAATCATTTAACCTCTCTCATCCTCAGTGTCTCCAGATGGAAATGAAACTATTAATATTTGCCTTACCGCTCAATACCTTTGTTCTGAAGATCAAATATGATGTGTGTAAAGTTTTAGAAATGGTCATTTCATTAGTAAACTTTTTAAAAATCTTTAGTCAAAAGGAAAATTTTTTATGAAAAGCAATGTAGACAAATGGAAGGCACATCATTCTGACTTGGAAAACAGACATGGGGCTTTAAATGTCAGACTTTCTTCCATTGGTTTCTTTTAATCATTTTTTAGGGCGAAGACTTCCCATGTATCCTAGAGGGTGCCTCTTTTATGAATTAAACTAGGACTTTAGCGTGAGTTGGCTTCAGCCTTCACAAGAATATAACAGGAAGAAAGAAGTTTCTAACCTAACTTTCCTGTTTTTCCTAGGTAAATAATCACTACAGAACAAAAACGGTTGCTCTCTGTATTATTCAGAGTATAAATTATATATTCCAAAATATAATTAGCACTTGTATCTGTAACAGATAGCTACACTTCCTGGTTATGTATCTATCAAATTTTCATTTTAATAGTGATGACTCATAATGAAATTATGCATTCATCGTTCCATTCATTAAATCACTTAACTTGCAGGCTGTCCATGAAAACTGAAAATTCTCTGCATGTGTTCACGTCATTTTGGCCGATTCTCAACCCAACATTTGTTAACATACAGAAATTTTTTCCAGAACAAGTTTTTTGTGTGTTTTTTTTTTTTGTGGGGGTTTTTGTTGTGGTTGTTTTAATGTGCATTCAGAGAGCAGATGTTGAAAATGTTATCAAGTTGCAGATGCACAGAACACTCTTGCTGAATGTGTCTGGTAATATAGCTCTGAAATATTACTTCAGCTCCTGCCTTCTGCTGCCCCAAACTTCATTCTCCAGGGAACCATCCAAAAACACAATGCTAAGAATGACTAAATTCAATCTTCACATCAGCTGTTTTTGAAATGGTAGAGCACCTTTTTTAAAAGATTCGGCATAGGTTTCTCTTGTTGAAGAAGAAGGGGTGAGCTCCAAAGATACTTTATTATCTGAAACTTTATGATAAGGGGGGAATGAAAGCAATAGTTACTGGGAGATGATCCAGAAAGCAAAACAAAAACAAGAGGCTGTATTTTAGATGATTAACAGAAGAAATGCTTCTCTCTTCCACTCCCTCTCTTTCCTGGTTCTGCCTCCTTTTCTTTCTACTCTTTCTTTTCTCCTCTTCTTCTCTATTGCACCCTTTACCTCCTCTTTAATCACTCCTCTCCCTCTTACTTCCTGCTCAGTAACAACTAGCATTTATTTTAGTATTTCTGTTTACAAAGAGCTTTACTCCTACCTTCCCATGTACCTTGTCTCATTATCACTGCAGTCTTACAACATACATTATTATCATCCCATTTTATGAGAGGCTTACATAGGCTAATGGAAACAAGTTGCAAAATCAGACCTCCTTATTTCAAAGCCTTCTCCGAACAGGATGCTACCTCAATAATTTATTTGCTTCCTTCCTCATAGATCTTTTCCTCTTCTTTCACTCCCTCAGCTTCCCTCCCTCAACTCCCACTCCTCCCCCATTACCTCAAAAAACCATCTTCCACCACAACTGCCCTTTTCAGTAAACTCCTTCATCCTCAGAGAGATCAAGTGACTTTGCTTCTCCAAGGACAGAGCCCCCTCAGCATAACTGACTGTCCTTGCCGAAGTCCCTCTTACTTCCTCCCAGAAATAAATTCTTTTCCTTATCTCTTGTGTCATCAGTATCTGTTTTCTGAATTAATCACATGTAGGATTGGAGGGAAGTATCCAATTGGGAGCCTCTCTCTCTCTCTCTCTCTCTCTCTCTCTCAAATCATATATCATATATGGTGCTATTCATGGTGTTTAGGTTGTTGGGTTGTCATTTATACACTTTTTACATTTGGAAAAAAATTGGGATATATAATTTATATTATTATCCCAACAGTTTATAAAGAGAATATCATAGAAATTATTTTTCCCTGAAATAATCCTTCTCCAATGGTATGCTTGCCTATAAACAAACACACACACACAGGATTTTCATAAAATCCTGAAGAATGACCTGCCAACAATTTCATCCTAGAATTTGTGCACTCTCACTTCAGTGGTATCACTTACTCCAATTACAAACTGTGAAACTGAGGGACTAAAGACAATCATTTTGTATTCTCCAGACTCCTTACAACTGTGAACATCTAATCATTCGGATACGAAATAGTTTCTCTTGCAGGATCATGGGGCTAGTGAAAGGTTTTGGACACAACACAAAATATTATTATTTTTTTCTATTTGAAGAACTGAAAATTTGAAAAAGTTTTCTTCTTTTTTGTCCCACCAACATAATGGGAACAGGATTTTTTTTTAAATTCCAATTACAGTATTTTCTGGTTTATATTTTGCCCCAGGGGAACCACTATAAAGATACCCAAACAGAATGAAACATGTTTACGGTTTGCGGAACAAGGAGATTTTCCCATTAAATCACACCTTATTTCTGAGAAGAAATTGTGAGCAGTAAACTAACAACTGAAATTCAGAAACAATCATGGAATATTAAAACCCAAACCAGGAGTTTAGAGAAAAACAAAATATCTTTCCTTGATCAGACAGCTGATAAGTCAAATATTCAGTTCTCACATATAATAAAATAATGGATGTTATGATCATAATAGTATTTCTAGATAACAAAACTACCAGTGATTAACTAGTGGTGATTTATAAGCATTCCCCTTGAGATTTTGTTTTGCAGTAGTTTTTGCTTTGTTTGCTAATCATACCTCATTTTCAATTATTTAGGCCATTTCCCTTCTTATTCCACCTGCTACTCTCCCTGAGCCCCTCCCCTGAGGGGGATCACTTAATTTCCTGGGTCAGCAGGATGAGAGAAAAGCTAACAGAAGAAAAGGACTGAATTTGGGTGGTTGGAGCATAACACATTCTCTCTGTTAATGTGAGCTATCAAGGCCTTTTCTCTGCGTCTCTATTTGGAAACTACTTAGAACTTTTCAGAGTAGCATTTCAAGGCAAGTAAGTAATACCCTCCTCATCTATCACCGATGGTAAGGCATTCCTCTTGGAACTTCCATGATCATGACTGTCCAAAGGGGATCAAGGTAGTGTACACATCCCCAGCCCTTCCCTTCCACCCACCATTCATTCTTTCCATTTAGACATAGTGCACAGCGCATGATTGCTTCTAACAGGAACACACGCTTTGTCAGTCAGCCTGAAATAATAAATGTGCTCGTGGATCCATTCTGTCCATTTGATATCATTGGAAGTTTTATCTAAAATGAATCCTTCCTCAGGGATGATGAGAACATTTCCCATTGGGATTGATTCCCTTACCTGACTCTAGAGGATGCTTATGTCTGTTACTGGGCAGAGCAGGAGTCCCTTGCTGCGAGTGAGAGAATTGCTTGGGGAACCCTAGAGTGTTTATTCCCAACTTCACTCTGCGTGTAAAAACACCTCTTTTCAAAAGGAATGCTCTCTCCTGTAGTAAAAGAGGATGGGGAAATCTGATCCAGTCGGCAGGGTGGCATCTGTCTGAGCCCTCTCTCCCTTTTTAATATGAGAATTCGAAAGCAGTGGGGAAGTGATGGTAGACCTATCACAGCATTGCTAACAGACAGCCTATTACAGTATTTAATAAAAACAGAAACAGCATGCCTACCATAGGCTAATAGTCCTACCTCCTGCACGCTTTCAAAACAGTAGAAAGCAGCTTGAACGGAGCTTCAGATAACTAATTTCAAGCATGGCTGTCTAGCGTGCCTGTCACTCCTATTGTCCTTCCAAACTCTTTCAGACATTTTGAGCCGGGAGTGCTAAAGCTATGAGTTAGCAAGGGTTGTGACATTAATGGTCCAGAAAGGCTTTAGGCAGGAGAGGTAATGATGATTACCCGTGGCTCTTCAGAGGACTGCACTGGATCGCTGTCATTAAAAATTAAGCGTGGCTTTTGAGGAAGATGTGACAACTACCGGAGGTAAGATTTGCATGTAAAACAAAGGGATCTGTTGCTGTGCTTTTCGTTTGCCGAGTGCCCAGTGGGTCGTGAATTGCAGCCAGGTGCGGGGTGAGAAGCAGGAAGGGGAGAGAGGGGAGTGGGAGACGGCTCTGCTTAGAGCAAAACACAGCGGATAGTGTTCTGTTTTCTGGCAGAAATGCCTCGAGGACAAACTGGCTCCAGTCTGGGAGCCTGCTCAGAGTGCCTTCCACGTTGCTTCTCCCGTGGAGTGGAATGCTTAGAGGTCACGGAGAAAGCAGTTTGCTTGTCTGTGGTGCTAGCTGGACCGTTGGTAGGGTTATGTGCAGACTTTGGTGGGTGGGAGGCAAAACGGTCCAAGAGAAATAAAGAGGAAGCTGTCCTGAGGACTTGAAACCTGTTAGATAAATATTTTATTCCCCTGGTCCAGGTGCTGGGATAGGCAGCTTCTGATTTTTAAAAGGGGAAATGGGAAGATTACAAAGGATTTCCCTCATAAAGAACTACTCCGGATTGAATCTATTATTAAAGAAAAGTGGGTACCTTCGTCCATTTTGCATGTTGAAAGCCTGATCCACACTGTTTGTGTTCATGGTGTTGCTAAAGCAGAGGAAGAGTTTTAGGCTAACAGGGGGGGCTTTCTCTCTATTCCTGCTTTTGCTTTTCAACAACTGCCAGGGCTGCAGATGGAAATGGTGATTCGTTAGAGATGATGAACTAGATGGCTTGTTCTTGCCTTTTCTCCTTTTTTCATGCACAGCATAAAAGCACAATTCTCCTTGCAAGATGCGAGGGGCAGGTGGGTTCCCGAGTCGGGTGGACCAGGAGCAGATTTGCAGAGGAACTTGCGCTGCTTTGTACTTTATTATGGGGTTGGTGTAGCTCAGTGGGGAAAGGAAATGTCAAGAAATCATCTGCTGAGATTTTTTAAAGCCAAAAATGCAATGATCAAAAACGAATGTTTCCGCAACTTGATCCAGGGTGCGAGTGTCAGTGTTTGTCATTGCACGTGACCCTCAATGTGAAGTGGCAGAAACATAGTGAGTGGATTTCTCAGTCCCGCCGTGTCGCTTCCCTGATAGACTTCACAAACTCCTCGATGCAAAGATGTTGCTTGAGATTTCGAAAGACACTATGTTCTGATGCATTGATTTAGTTATAGCAAATGGCAAGGATACACAGAATAATTGTGTATTTAAAAAATAATATAATATGCTTCCAAAAGTTCTATAGTCATGCAGTACTGACTAGAAATGAAAGTGAAATATAATTATAGTATGTTTGCTTCGGCTAAATACTGAAATTAAAGAGTGGTGGGCTTTTTCTCTGATGCAGTTAAGTCTGTCCATTTGCCAGTTTCTGTGTAAATACCTCCATTCACATACAAAGTTGAAATCATTGTCCTGTAGTGTGCTTAAAGTTGTGTGTCTATTTTCCTAATAGTGTGATGAAAATTACTGAAACTCTCTTTGCTAATCTTTATGTGACCAAGAGCACGTGAAATAACTGTATAGAATTTCTGATGCAATTGATGGCTATGACATAGTTTTCTGCTCCTGTGTGGCCAGAGGAAAGTGCGACCTTGACCTTGTAAAGTTCCATTCTCTAGCCAATTGTGCTCACCCATCAAGAACCCATATACAGAGAGTTCGCAATACACAAACGGAAACACACACATTTTACTTACAGCTGCCAGAAGTTTACAACTGAATGTTATTTCTATTGTTTCATTAATTTCATTTATTTGAAAAGGACTTTCACTGGCTCTGGTCTTACCAATATCTTCTGACTCTAATCACATCATGCATTGATTATAGAAGCAATTTATGCCATAAAAGTTGTCAACAGAATTCTTTTGCTGTGGTCATGCTCATAACACTTTCCTGCTAAACTAAAATGACTTTTCACAATTTTTACAGATTTATGGGAAAAGTTCTTATGTTAAATCTTGATGGTGTATGTGTCTAGACAGGACCCCTTCAACATGAAATATATAGGAGAGATACAGCAATTTGTTATTGTTGTTGGGGTGGTGGGGAAAACCAAGCCAAGCAATTTAGTCAAAATGACCTACTTGGTGTTACTAATTAACATCATTTCCTATTTACCTTGTCAATCAGAGCATTTCCAGATAGCCTTCCCTTTCAGTCTTTGCCACATCTAGTAATGAAAAACCAGCAATTCTCCAGTAATACATAAAGCAACTCTGGATTCCACCCTGACATAAAAGATAAGCAAAGCTCTAGTCTATCTTGTTTTCTCAGTCCCTAAGGGTAGCACAGTCATCATTTAGTCACCAAGACACAAGTCAGCAAGTCCAGAGTTGCCCTTGTTCTCTGCTTCTCTCAAATACACACGCAGTCGTCATTCTACTTTATTAGTAGATATCGGACATAACATTCCTCAAATTAACACAATCCTCTCTTTGACTATTTATTTTCTCCCATAAAAATATAATGAAAAAAGAACCTTCCCAAAATATTTGTGCTATTAGAGGAAATAAAAAGCTGACTATAACAATGTATATACAATATAATCCTAATTGTAATATATACCTGTGTATGAAAAAGCACACAATGTTATCCTCATTATTAATCTGTAGGGTTGCTAAATTTTTAAAGCAGACATTATATTAATAGTCACAAAAACACTAACATCATTAAAGTTTACATCTCCTATTCCAATCATGTTGCCATCTTTCTCATTATCATACTTCAGATTATCCACTAAGTCTTCAATGCAAATTCCCAAGTCATCTGTTGGTCCAAGAAAGGCTGAGCAAGCGTGCGATTGCCCTATCAAAGCCTCTTCCTCCTTGGGTTTTTGGCACATCGTGAAAAACTCAGCATCATCCTTTCTGAGAGACTGACTCCTACACCTTAATTCAGGTTTACTAGAAAAGGTGTGTGTGTGTGTGTGTGTGTGTGTCTAATTCTCTTTTATAGATACAGCATTTCTTCTTTTCTGGCTGCTCATTATCTCCTAAATATTTAAATTTTGGAGTGATCTGTGGCTCAACTATAAATCTCTTCTTTATTTATACTTACTCCCTAAATGAGTTTGATCTAATCTCAAGATCATAGAAACCATCTATATACAAACAGCTCACAAATTCCAATCCCTCACTTGGGCTTTTCCCCTTTTTCCCTTACCTCCATACTTACATATTCAACTACTTATCATGCCACTGCTACCACTCTGAGCAAATTACTACCAATTATCAGATTATTGCATATATTTCCACCATTGATCTTTTGTTTCTGCCTCCTCCCCCCTGCTCTCATACACACATTTTAGTCTGTATCCAACACCAGTGGTCATTTCAAAATTAAAATTAAATCTTAATATCCCCTGCTTAAAAGTCTCCAACACCTTCCCATCTGAATACATATAAAAGCCAGATTCTTACAGAGGCTCATAAGCCATGTGTGATCAGCCCAGGTTCCTCCCTGGTTCTTCTGCTACCCTCTTCCTTTAGCACTCCACTACAGCCACACTGGCCTCCTGGCTTTTCCTGAAACCTGCCAAGTACTTTCAAACCTCAGGGCCTTTGACTGTGCTGTGCCTGCTGCCTGGAAAATTCTTCCCCTACATAACCACATGATTCAGTTTCTCACCTTCTTCATGGCCCTACCAAATGTCACTTCATCAGAGAATTCCCTGAAAACCATATTTCAAATTATACCCCCTTGCACAAATCCTGTTCCTAGTCCCTGCTTCCTTTTTCTCCATAGCATATCAAATCATCCCCCAATACAGCATAGGTTGAGCTTTTATTGTCTCTCTCCTGCTAGAATGCAAATTCTTTGAGAGTAAGGATTTCTAGAATTTTCTATAATCCATGGAGGTAGTGTGATATGAATTGGATATAGCATCTGAGATACGTACAGTCTTTAGGAACAAAGAGACTTGGTCTGAATCTCACCTTTAAACTTCATAGCTATGTGACCATGGGCAAGTTTTAAAATCATTCTGTTGTATCTCAGTTTCCTCACTGGTAATTGGCAATAGTAATACCTCCCTCTCTGGGTTGAAGATTAAAGTGATTATGTGTGCCAGTGCCCCTTTAGAATAAATACCTGGCACAGAGGAAATGCTTAAAACGTAATAGTGTTCTCACTGCTACTGTCATTTGATCTTCACAGCATGCCTAAATAGTAGATAGAACACTTTCCATTGAACAGATAAGAAAACTAAGATGTAGAAAAGTTAATCAAATTGCTCAAGGTCAAAGAACTAGTAAGCTATTGAAATTCACTCTCCCTTCAGTCATAAAGATTTCTGATAAATATAATGTCAGGTTAACCATCTTTAATGTATTTAGTGACTACAGGCTGCCAGTGATTAGAGGAATTTTTTAAAAGGACGGATCTGAAGAAAAGAATTTTCTTTCCTTAGTGAACAAACAATGTGGGAGCCTTATGGATTCCTTCCCTGAAGAAAAAGTGGACTTAAGCTCCTGTGAAACAACTTAAATGGCAGCTAATTTGCTTATTAAGGAAACCTCAGTCTCTAGAAGTGCAATATAATGTAGCATCCGAACGCCAGCCTCACAGTCCTGAAGACCTGCCCATTGCAGGTTCTTCCAACCTTGATGAGCCTCTGTAGATGGTAACAGTACATCACTCATGGGTTTTCGAGGATTAAATGAGGTAATCTGTGCATAGCTGTTAGCGCCATGCTTGGCACAAATTAAATGCATAATACATATTACCTATCAACACCTTAACTATTATTATCTAGAATGAAACTTTAAATGCTATATATACTACGACACTGAGAGATTTGGTTTAAATATCTCATTTAGTTCTGATTTCTTGGTATTGCATGTCTCTTAGTTCATTCAATAGGTAACATTTAAGGGTGATTTAATCATCAGTGAATCACATTAGAGTTCAAGGTGTTAGAGCGTATAGTCAGCCACAGAAACAGAATTTCTTGAAATGTATGACATTTGATTGTTTCTTATTAGGCCCAAAATGAAAGAGGCAATTCTGAAA